GCGCCGTATTGATATCATCCAAGTTTTTTTGTAAGTATAACATGCCCATATAGTATTAACAAGCAATAGTCTTCGGCGAAGCCTACATCGCATGCTTAAGAAAATGCCCAAACCACTTACTGAAAATTTCCAGCTGCATCATCCATCCTGATTTATGACAGGCGAATTCAGTACCAGGTGGAACTCCGTCCATTAACTCTTCTTTCATTCTTGCTCTAGGAAAAATTATCATTGGGGGAATGAATGAGCCACCAGCAGACATTCAAACGACAATTCTTGATAAAACTTTGCTTTCTGCAGATCTGAGGCCTTTTAGTGCAAAAATTTTGCTCGATTTAGACTGCACAGTTGTAAGTCCCGTCTCATCTACATAGGTCTGTATGGGAATCGACTAATGCATTCATCTAAAAGTGCAAAAAACCTATCAACACTAGTAGCTTCAGGAGTGCGAAGGCTAATTTCCTGATGTCTTTCACGAAACCCCTTTAACCAGTCTTCCCCAGCAAGCTGCGTTTCTCTGTTAAAAGTATGCCTTAAGCTGTTTTTCTCGGCTAACTGATATGATCTAAGGTCTTTTTAGTGAGACTATAAAATCGCATTTCCAGTTCCTGGATATGTTGAACTATTTCTACTTCTTGATCCAAAGTAAAAACTGGACGAATAGCGCCTAAGACTTTAATATTCCCTTTAGCATCTCTATTCTTATCTAGAACTCTTCTTTTGAGAGTATTTCAGGAAACATAAGTTTTACTGGCTGTTTGGAATGGCATATGTTGTTATTTTACGGCTTTGATTACTTGTGCCATAGTCTCAAGATCCCATGATCCCTGGTGTGAAGTTCTCATATACTTCCTTGGCATATTCTGGAAATAAGTTTCTAAGTTTACAACCAATAAAAAATTGATGATAGTTAAAGTAACCACTCCAATATTTACACGGGGTATAGTGGACACTTTGTGGCCACTTTAACCCATCTTGGAACTCTTGAGAAATATCATAACCTACAAAATGTACTTCGCATATTCATAAATTATATTAGATGGATACATACCTAATACCATATGTTTAGGCTCTGCAAAAACTCAGCACTCTCGAATTTATCAATAGCGTTGCACAGCTGACTGATCTCAACCTCAACACTACATATGAGGCACGTGCAAAAACACAATTATGCAGATATCATCTGATATGTAGATGTTATGGTTTCTATATTTCTTTCCTGGTTGACGGTAATGACGCTTGCAACGGTTTAGCGATTTACCGCACAGATGACACTAGTAGGATAAGAAAAATTATTCGAGGCCATTTTACCTCGGGTGGCCACTATACACTCGGGTATCGGGGACAACACTAATCATTTGTAATTGCTGTGGTGGGAGGTATTTGTGTGAATGCGTCTTGTTTGTTTTCATTTACGCCGTGACTAGCAGTAGTATTTTATAAACCTTAGAAGCAAATTTCACATACATCAACAAATAATAATAATAATGCTGTGACAACAAGAAGACGAAGCAATGACTTCTCGTACCATACCATACCTGGCTACGCCGACCGACATAAACACCAACGGCCTGGACGCAGCTCACCTACTCTATCAAAAAGAGACATATGCAACACATTTCCATGAGATATGATTTGACAGGGTTTAAATAAAGCAAGGATTTCGAAATATATGCAAATGGTTCAGGACATGTGCACAAATGAAGAGATGTATTGATGGAAAATAGGATAGGAATATTTAAGAATGCCACTTTTATAATAAACATCAGATATGGTTTCCAGTGGTGACAGAATTACTGGAAAAAATTTATTTGTTTGGGATACGCTTTTCAAACGATGGAGAAGTAAATGAAGATCTTTACAGTAATGATAAATATATATACAAATTTAACATTAAATTGGGTTTTGTGATGGCCTACAAACAAAAATCAAAAGAAATTTTAAATAATGTTCATAATTGCTCTAAATCCCTTCTTTCTTGCCGTCTTATTTTTGTCTCTTCTATTTCATCCAACTGTTAATTCGAAATCATATTATTATTATTATTGATTATTCTTACTATGTTATAAAAGTTAACAAGAACATATATTACTACATTACTTTTCTCAGTGTAGATACACACTGAACTTTCGCATGAATGCTTGCATCACCGATCCTCATCTTATCTTGTTCAGGTTTTCCTTTATTTCCTCTCCACCGTTGGCATTTTTTCATTTTTATTTTCTTCGCAAAACATTGTTTTCCCCAAAGCCGAAAAAAGAAATAGACCTTATTTCAGAGATGCGCAGGTCTGACAATAAAAAAACTACCCAAACAGAAATGCAGACACGGAGTGCAACGACAATTGGGAAATCGATAAAAGTGCAGGTCAGGATTGACCACAAACCACGAAAAAAATAGGTCGAAGAGATCGTAAGAAAATATTTAAGATTTACTTCAGTTCTGTACTTTAGGTTTAAACCTGTATATAAAAAGTAAATAAATAGTGAAAATACAATACAAAAATGTATACTTTCACTTTATTTATTTTATCCTATAAGAAAGCATCCAATTTTAAACGAACATAAAATTAAATTAAATGTAAAAAAGTGACGTCTGTCTAAATTAACAACTTGTATGGGCTTTTCTCACTTTTGACCTAGTACCTAACCCCCTAGCTACAAGTTATTTACTTCTTTTTGATGCAATAATATCTTTAAAATTAAGTATTTCAACAAATGTTTAATTATTGTTTTCAAATTTATAAATATTAGAATTTAATACAGTTGTGCCATCTATGACACGCTGGTTGCAACATATAACGGAGTTGTTACAGATTTCTGTTTTAGTAAAAGCAGGATTCTGTAGATGCCAGGCCAGGCTTTATCGATTTTTTAAAAATAACACAATTGATTAAAATAGGAGGTAAACGAATTTCTTACCCTATTATAAGCCGCGTTTGAGAATCCACATCGGATGCATCTGAGATGTAAAAAATCTTTGATCACGTGATTCAGTATACGTAAATGTAATGGGACAGATGTGTCCGATGTGGATAAAAAAACGCTCGAGATGTAAAAAATGCATCCGATGTGGATTCTCAAACGCAGCAAAAGTCTATAGAGTTATGTCTTTTCCACTAATAATGTAATAATCATGATTAGAATTTCAAACGAACAAAAATAAGCATGCCTTCTGTAGTTATCAAATATTGTGTAAAAGATATTGATAATTATATATATACGTCGCCAAAGTTATAAAACGCCTCAATATATTTCAAAACAAAATGTTAATTATTCAAAATACGAGGCAACGTTCATAAAGTAATAATTGTGAGCCCTCAAAACCATTCCTCAATGGCACATTTGTCGAAAATATTTTACATTTCAAGTATTTCGTACGTTCTTGGAACAAATAATCTGATGGTGCTAAATACGGAGAATTGGGTGGATGGTCAATCAATCTCATAAAGGTTTGAGATTTTAAAGGAAATAAGCATAACCATGAGACCGATACGGGCTCCATACTTAGCACCGTTCGATTTTATAGAATCAATTTAAAGAAAAAATGTACCCAGACAACACACCAAATCCCAGAGATATTCACAGAATATCTTTTGTGGATATCCAATATATCCACAGGATATCAGAAATATTCTGTGGATCTAATATGGGTATCCAAATGTCCGTCTATATCCAGAATATAGAAGATATCTTAATGGATATTCAGCAAAATATCTAATAGGTATCTTCCAGAAAATATAAGAAATCCCAGAGATATCCACAGAATATATTTTGTGGATATTCAATATATCCAATATGAATATCCAACCAAATGTCCGTCTATATCCCAGCATATAGAAGATATTCAGCAAAATATTTTATGGGTATCTTTAGTAGAGGTTCATAAGTAACCAATGATTATTGAATAAAGTCGATAGCAGAGGTAAAAAATATTTTTAACACTCTGCCTTTGATTTTGCCCACTAAGGAGATAGTCATCCTTATTAGGACTCTTCAGCAATAAATGAAAATTCTCGACTCCAGTCTCTAATGGAGTGATTAGGACACACAATTTCGATCGAACTCAATTACGGCGGGTCGAGCATGAGTAGATGCGATAGTGGTATCGCCATCTATACTTAGTAAGCAGAATCAAATAACATCTAGTGGATATCCACGATGGTTTGCGTTCGCGCCTAGACTTTGATATATTTAGTGGATGTTCATGGGATATTGAATACACCTTAAAAAAAATCATTTTAAATATCTGAACGGTACTATTAGCCACAATGGCGTATTTTTTTAATAATTTGCTATATAATTACTATTATTTATGGACATTTGCATGTCTATAAATTACATTTCATGGATATAAAATAGATATCTACCATGGACTGGACATTCAGTGGATATTGGGATGTTCAGTAGATATCCAAAGGATTTGGTGTGCTGTCTGGGTAATGACACAATCGCTCAGGCAATTTGTAGGGAATAAAAGCAAAGCTAGAAGTTGCTAATAATATTTATTCCCCATAACAACTGGGTATATGATGCTTTTTTTAAATATTAGACTATCTATAGATTACCAAAGAGGCGGGAAATGTACCCCATTCATTTAGCTATTTTCTTAATAAGTTTCTTGCATTTTTTATTAGTACTCTACAGCTCTTCTTATTTTATTACATTTTAAGATCGCTTGACTCAAATTTTTATATAAAAATTATATTTTTTTATAAAATGTTTTTATAAAGAGTAATCCACAAAAAATGTTTCTAAAGTAGGCCATGACCGACAAAGACAGATAAGCGAGTCATGCCCTTGATAACTACCAACGGTTCACACTATTATTATTTGATGATTGATGGTGCCATCTGATTTACATGTGAGAAAAACCATGAAAACTTCACCCACCATATAATCTGACAAGGGTGATTTTTTCCAAGGCCTTACTTTAGAAATAAAATTTATGGATCACTCCATTTTTAAGAGTAAATAGTTATAGTTATATTATTTTTTCAGTTTTCCCTACATCGTATCCAAATAATCAAGCGGAACTGCAACTCTTCAGGGTCATGCAGAATGCATCTCTCCTACTCTACTACGACACTCTTTTAGAGATGGGCGGCGACGATGTCCAACAGCTATGCGACGCAGGAGAAGAAGAATTCTTAGAAATCATGTCCTTGGTAGGTATGGCGTCGAAACCTCTTCACGTGAGGCGGTTGCAGAAGAGCCTTCAAGAATGGGTTACGAATCCTACGAAGTTCAAACTACCCCTAGTGCCCGGTGAAGATTTTGAACTAGAACTATCGAGTCCTAGAGTGACTAGTAATCATGTGTTTTACTCGGATAGCGGTGATAGTAGTAGTAGGACGATGTATTCTCCTTCTCCTGGTGATGTTTGTGCCTTACCCCCTGTTTCTAGCCCTGGATTAACACTTAACAATAAAAGGTAAAAAACTATTTTATTCTAAATAATAGATCTATATTCGATATTGCCACTTTCAAATATGGACAGATGCTAATGGACTTTAAAACCATACTGTCAATTATTTATTAGGTATCCTTATCATTAAGATACGTCACAAATATGTCTATATTTGTTCATCTTATTTTTCAATTCTGCCTTGTGAGGCATCGAATTATTCTTAATGTCTTGCCTGGTTTAAGTGACAATGTTAATTTAATTTCAGGCCTTATTCCCCATTAGATCCAGCCTGCCCTCCATCCTCTAGTTCAAGTCCCGGAGCAAATATGTCCGTTCAACTATCCCCTAGCCTTATGGAAAGCCAAATAGTCAAACTAGCAGCTGCAGCTGAAAGGCTGAGTAAACAGCTGCCCCAATTCGAACCAAAGCCGCATAACACCAAGAAAAAAGTATGCAAAGAACTAGAACTAGTTATATCAATGCCAGAGAATGATCCTAGACGGATGGACGAAATTCGAAGGTATGCTGCTATTTATGGAAGGTTTGACTGTAAGAGGAAACCTGAGAAACCATTAACTCTGCACGAAGTGTCGGTGAACGAAGCTGCGGCGCAGATTTGTAGATTTATTCCAGCGCTGTTGACGAGACGCGACGAGTTGTTCCCACTTGCCAGGCAAGTGGTTAAGGATTCGGGCTGCTATTATTCAAAAACTCAGTGAGTCTCAACCCAATTACTGCCTATTTCAATTAGTTAATCATTGTGTAACTTTTAGATTATCGACGGTTTACATGAATAAACAGGCAGTCATGGGACATGAAAGGGATCAAGACTTGTCGGCTAGAGCTAGTCCAAGGATAGGCGCTACGGAAATCGATGGACCTGCGAGCAAAAGGCCCAAAGTGGAGACGAACTCGGACTCTGACGACCGGCAGGTCAGCCAGTTAAAACGACTCAGACCACCTAAACAGTCACATGTCATTATTAATTTAGAAGACTAATGCTTTTAAGGCTTTTCATGAGCTTCAAGTTAGCTGCTCACAACGCTTTCGCACTTACTGATGGTTCAAGTTTCACTTGAAATATGTTGCATGCTGTATATATTTTAGAACATCGTTGGTAAACTGACATTCTATATTTACATACATTGGGTATTGCATTTTGGTTAAAACGAACATATATATTTATGAGTTTACCAGCGATGTTTACATGCTTTTGCGGTGCTTTTAGGCTTTAGATACATACTGGATATTAGGAACAAACGTGGTTATTAAAAATTGTATAATACTGATTTGTAGTGGCAACAGTTTATGTTTTTTTTAAGAAATAATTTTCTTATTAGATACAGTACTTTTATGCAGCTTAGCTTGGCACAGCTCAAACTTATTGGACGGTTATTGATTTTTTTCTAATCATATCTTTGATAAAGTGCTGTAGCACTGTAATAGCAGTGATTTTTTAATCGTGAGTCTTTTTTTCTTGATATAGTCATTAATCTCCCTGTCCCAAAAGAATCGGGATATTTAGTATAGGAATTTTAAAGGAAGCTAGTCATGTCTGATGATAGATTATATTCTTTTTGTTTTGAATTTTATTATTTTAGTACACAGTTTATGAGTAAGACATTTTATTACTCAATTAATACTTGCATTTTTTATAATATTGGCGCCTTACATCCAATATTAAAACCACTGACGACAAGTTCAAATAGAATTATGTTTTTTTTTATATTTAGAAAACGCTGTGATTTTTTGTGCAATTTCATGCTATTTAGATTGATTAAATATGTCACTAAAACGTGATTACTAGTAGGATTTAATTTTAAATGTTATGGTAGGATGAGTATCTTTTACATTATTGATATAAAAAAAAGTTGATTTCTATTGTAAAATCATGCACTGTACTCTTTACAATTTATTGCTAATAAATTTGATAAAAAAATTAATTAATTAATTGTGAAAATTAAATTTGTTCAAATTCTAACAATTACGCCTTTTCACACACATCAACTGTTTATATATTTTTGAACAATTTTTGATATTATTTGAGTACAATGAACTCATCGATCTCACTGTGATTTATGATCTGTTCTAAGTTCACTTATGCCACATAGTCAATTATTGGACACATTTACTGTTTTTAAATTCAATATTGTACAATTTTACCTAAACCAATATTCGTTTATAGTGTAAGAGCAGGCGGTGTAAAATTAAAGAGGGGGTTATTTTAAATTATAAAAAATATATATTAACTGTTAAACACCAGGCCAAAAGGAGCATTATTCAAAGTTGAAAACATGCGCACAAGTATGACGCAGCCCATTTCGACTGAGCTTGTGTGGGGAAGGGCCGGTTATTATTATTTACCTTGAAGCTCCGGGGCGACTTAAAGATGATTAAAACCATTACGAACCATGCAAATTGATTAACAATTCACATGGTCTGATGTAGGAATCGAAGCCACCTATGTTTAATAACTTAGAATATATTTCTTTTCTACAAAATATCGCCTTAACAACCTTAAAATTGTTCTGTATTTAATTTTGAACGGCTCACCAATGTTGATCTGGTGTTTAACAATTAAGAGATATCATTTTCCTCTCTTGATTTTAAACAGCCGGCACTCAGTCTGTTAGGCTGTTAGAAAATTTGGTTTGACGTATTTTAAAATATTTAATATACCTAATACATTTTCTGTGTTCTGTAATATATCCCGTATGTACTAGCCAAGTTATTTTGGTCAAAAAATCTAGTCATAAAACTCTTCATCAAAAGTTTTTACTAAGTAATTCATAGTTTTGTTATATGATAATATTTGTTAAATGTTTAATAATAAAATTCTTATATTTTAGGATATATCGCATATACTATTGGGTTAATTTTCTTTTATAGGACAACTTGCAGGATATATGAAGGAAGGTACTTGTGAGTAGTGTATAATGTATTTTTTTATTTGTTGCTATAATAAGTATATAGGTACATACAAAGTGGGGTAGTACTTCTTTAGGCGGGTACCTACTAATATTAAAAAATATAATTTATTTTATTAGTTCAGTATTAAAACGTAATGAAAAAAAATTGCTTCCTTTTCAAAATTAGAATAAAAAATTAAGGTCGCTGCTTCCTAAAAAAAATTGATATTGGTTATTTTTTTAAATAAGTACTCAAATTTAGTTTGTGTTTAGTGGAGTGATAGTTTAAGTGGCGAAATATTGTGAATTATTCAAATAAGAGATGGATCATATCCTTAGAAAGTAAGTATTATCTGTATCTGTAACGTGTGGAGGGTGGGTTACCCCACGCCTCATTAGGCCCATTGTGCATCCTCCTGAGATGATACGCATCTCTTAGCTCGTGAGCCAGCCTACAGATTTAATGTAGTTGACAACGTCGCCAAGAGGTGCTTCTCTTATATCGGCCGGTGTTAGCCGATACTCGCCGAACACAAATCTTCTAATAAATGAGAGCGTCGAGCAATCGTAAAGGATATGCTCGATGGTCTCATCTTCTTGTTCGCACCCTCTGCAGAGTGCGGATTCTGACAGCCCCATGATATGGAGATGCTTTCGTACTTGGCAATGACCAGTCAGAATGCCTGTGAATAGGCGCAGATTCTGTCTAGTCATAGTCAAGTATTTGTTTGCTGCAGTGTTGTCAGGGATAACTTAAGAGCTCCTTGGCAACTCTACAGTTTTTTGTTTCATCCCATCTTTCCTTGAATTTCACAAGGGAATGTTCTTTGATTAGGTCTGTCACTACCGATTTTGTCACGCCAATAGAAGGGCCAGGTCCAAAAATATTTGGTTGGCTGCTTTCTTGGCTAGTGAATCAACAAGACGGTTACCTTTTGATGTGGCGTGACCTTTAATCCATCTTAAGGTGACCACATTGTTGATGGATACTTCGGCCAAAGCTTCGTGACATTCTAGTACTAACCCTGAATAAATTCGTGGTCTGTTCAGGGTTAGTAGTGCTTGTCTGCTATCTGCATGTTCCTTCCAGTGATATTTTATGTTTAGGTTTAAGAAACTGAAGTATATTCCACATCCTGAGCCTTGTTTTGTTTTAGAACCGTCGGTGTAGATATGAATCGTACCTGCCACTTCCGGCTCTTTATTTTATTATAACTTTATATGGCTTATGAAAGATATATTTCGGTGAGATGGAGTCCATGTTCGCTTGAAGCAGTGGGGCGTATCGAGCGCCTCCTGCCAAAAGTGACGTCTAGCCTCACCAGATCCTACATCAGGTTATATTCCGACCGTGCGGAGGCGTGTCATTGTCGTCAACCTCCTTGATGTAAATATCAAGGGGAGTAAGACTAAGAATGACTTCCATGGCTCTAGTCAGTGTTGGTTTTATGGTTCCTGTTATGTTGAGACATGCTGTTCTTTGAATTTGTTCTAGTTTACGGATAGCTGTTAATTTTTGGAGTTTCGATACCCAGACAACTGCACCGTATGTTAGCATAGGTCTTATGATAGCCGTGTAAGTCCATGCGATGACTCTGGAGGAGAAACCCCAGGTGCGCCCCACGGTTCGGCGGCATTGTTCATAAGCAATGTATGCTCTTTTAACTCTGTTTTCTAAATGCAAGTTCCATGTTAACTTGCTGTCAAAGGTGAGACCTAAGTACTTCACCTCTGTTTAGTTTTGTGTTTAGGAGTTATGGAGGTTTTAATTCCATTTTCATCCTTTTTCTTGTCTTCTTAGGATTGATAGACAGTGAATGGTCCTTGCACCACTGTTCTATAATTTTTAGATCTACTTGCATTCTTTCGCATGGTATGTTCTCAAAATTCCCTGTTTGCAGAATGACCAGGTTATCTGCATATGCTGAGGGTGTCGAGGACCATATTCCACAGTAGAGGTGATAGCACCCCTCCCTGTGGACATACCCTCGCAACCAAGCCTCTTATGTTCACATCTTCTACACTTATGTTTACTGCTCGCTTTGAGAGCATGTTATGTATCCAACTACTAACCATTTGTGGAACATTCCTGTTGGTTAGTAAGTGTATTATCTTTGGGAAGGTGCTTTTATCAGTACCTTTTATGTCTATGAAAACACCCAAGGCGGACACCTTATTGTCCAGATGAAGGGCTGAATCACAATAATAAAATATTATGGAAGTCTTAAAACCGGTGCAGGTAGTTTGGGTCCCGACATGCCATATACAAAACATGTATAGAGAGGCAAATTCGGTCCCAACAATTGTTGACTACCTGAACCTGGGTTCAACTCATTTGATGTATATTTTTTTGCAAAGCAACCTGAGATGGCTCTAGATTGCACATGTTAGGTAAGTTACAGGACCAAATTTACATTTTATTTATGAACGTCAATTTGTTCAGGCCCCAATTTATATTTACCCCTTAAAACAACTGAAATACGTAATAACAGGCATTATCATTCACCCTTTTACTGAATATAATATATTTAGTAACAACGTGAAGAAAAACTGGACATATTAGCTAGAAATCAAGGAAATTCAAAATAAAAATGGATGTAAAACTAGGGTATTTACCTCCCTGAGCTGCTCAAAGAAATACTGGAATTTATTAAATTGAAACCTCGAGATTTTACGAGAAAGCAAAAAAAAACAACATGGCGGTGATGAATAAAATTATTTACCCCCGAAAAATCTTCCCAGATCTGCAGTTAAGTAAAACAATCGTACGGTTCGAGCCTCTAGTGAAAATTTTGACAATATTTGAAAAACAACAGATGATCATCAAATGAAATGAAGCAAAAAGTGTAAAAAATCAAATTATGGCATCATGATAAACCTTCGTGTCATACTTCTGAGCAAACAAAGTTGTTCTTACAAGCCTCAGAAATGGATCTGCTCAACCAGTCTCCATACAGTCCTGACCTTGCATCTGGTGATTTATTTTTATTAGTAACAATTAGGTGCTTCCAAAAATTTGTTGTTGGAGGTGTACCAGAAAAACTTTGTAGAACAATAAAATAAATATCTATTAAACAACGTTGTTTAGTTTTTTTTATTTGCAGTTCGGTATTCTTGTCTTAGCAACCGACAATGGAAATTTAGAGGAAGATTACTGCTTGAATGTTAATCTGTATATTATGGATTAAAAGAACATATTTTTTTTAGATTTTAAGAATTTTCCATCAATTTGAACAAAAATATTTGTATATTAATTTTATTTTAAATTTAGAAAGAAACTTTCTACAGATTTCAAGCCTGCTTTCGTAAATATTATTATCATTGAAAGTACCTACTTAATGACTTGGCTCTGGTTTTGCATGCATTGCTTCTTTAAGGTAAGCTTTTAGACATAAAATTGCTAATGCTTTGTTTGATGCTAAAATTGAAATAATTTTTTTCAAGGAATTCTAATTATATTTACAATTTCGTTTTGCTGTTCTCTCTTATACATTCCTTGAAAGAAATGTTTGTTATCTAGTGCAAAGTTCGTTTTTGTAATCTTTACCGTTTATTCATTTTCATAATATTGATTCTGTACTGTAGGACTATGATGATGCCCTCGTGGTGAGAACTTCAATCCATTCACTATTTCAAAATTCCAGAATTCATCAGTCCAATTCTAGGTAAGTTAACGTCTAAAATAATCTGCAACCGATTTGGGATACATCAAAAATCAGAAGATAAATAAGTGACTCATATTTTGAATCTGTTGTGTCTTATTGTTGATTTAATTTAATACTGAATTTTTTTCTTTGTTCAAAGGGGCACAACTTCAAGAAGATCGTCAGTTGGAGCTGAAGTTGACGAATCAGATTCTCAATTTACATATAGTAATTCAAGTAGTCCTCAGGTCGGTATACCATCGTTTTATGACTTGTCTTTTTGGTGCCCAGTATTAAGTTTTGAATTAAATTTATTTCTTTTTAGAGCAATATTATTGAATAGAATATTTGAATATAGAAACAGTTTATTTGAAAACTAGAATTCTACAATGTAAAATATCCAAATATCCTATTTAGTTTATATAGATTAATCCAATTTTTCAAGAATTAACATCATTATTGTAACGAATTCCTAGTGTGGACAATCAATAAATTGAGAATAGTGATTAGATAGACAAAGGTTTGCCACTTTTACACTGTGCTGATTAACAAATATATTATCAATGCAAGTTGCAGAATCTCTAGTTGGAGTTCTTACACATATTTCAAGATTAAAACTATACAATAAATCTTCTAATAAAGAAAGTTGAGTACTGGGTTTCATAAAATTTACATTAAAATCTCCTCCAATAATTATATTGTAGTTGTTTTCTGAACATACATAAATTAAAATTTCGTTTAAAACTAACATAAAATCACTAAAATTTCCTCCAGAGGGTCTATAAATCACTAAGCAAATCGTCTTATATAGAGGTAATTGTATACCACAACATTCACTATAAGGAGGAGCTTGTAATTACAATGAATTATAGATGCAGATGTAGATGCAAATTTAATCAGGTATTGCTTTAAAACTCTGACATTCCTAGTCAAATGAGTTTCTACAATATATTCAGATCCTGAGATACTTCGTGCTATCGAAAAAAAGCCTCCAGTAATCGGCTGCAACAATGGCTTCAATTTTTACTGTTAAATTAATATAATAACCATATATTCATGTTTTATTTGTTGCCAGAAGCTTTATAATCCATCAGTAATTGATTGTTTAAATTGTTCATAGTTTTCTTTTTGTTAATAGAGAAAAAATGAAGATCCAGGTGAAAATGAGGAAGATGCAAGTAAATATTCTCCAAAAGTACAAATAATTGCTGCAAGCGGAGATAACATCATAGCCGTAGCCAATCCTGCATTAGCGATGTCTTCAGCGATTATGCCACCTTTGACACCGATAATAGAAGCTAGAGAAAATCGGACCGAAGTAGATTGACTGAACAGTCTCATTTCTGATAATAATTTTGTTAATTAAAAGAGATTTTAATACTGTGATTTCATATGTTATCTGAAAATCATTAGAGCTGACTGATATGTTGTAAGTTATTAAATACTAAGAGAAAAATATTCTAAGAATATCTCTTGACACTGTAATCAAAATATTTTGTCTTCATTTCATTTTATTTCATTATTTAAATATCATAATTTTAAATGTTAGTAGCAGAAGATTTAAAATATATTTTGATAAAGTACAATTTCATGTAGGTATTGTTAATAAAGTTTGTTTAAAAGGGTATGGTTGATTTTATTTTAGTTTTTAAATAATACCTAGGAAGGGTCTATTTTATAGTACAAAAGATAAAAACAGTAACTAAATTAAAATACGATTTTTTTTACATTCGCCTTATTCTCCAGACGTAGTTCTGATTTCACTACTTCCCACAACAAAAACTCTTGGTAGATAACAATTTACAACCTTAAGAAGTTTCCCTGCTTTATAAATATCTCCCATAATTCATTAGACTCATGTCTATTCTTATAGTATTTTAAAATGCTGCTTGTATAAACAATTCGCCCGTTCCTGAAAACATAAACAAGGAATCAATACAATATCAAATTTGGAAAACAGACATGAGTCTTAGTTTTGGGACAAATTCATATTCAGGAGTCAAGCTTCCAAAACCCTTCCATATAGAAGTATACGGCAGAATCATGAATTTTCCCCATGAAAAAGCCCTAAGCCTACAAAAATCACACCAAAGCTGCGTATGTTAATTATCGGTCTCACCACTATGTTATAAAGCCAATATACCATGTCTGGTTTTAACCCCCATTTTTTTCCAAAGGATCGCCCTGCCATCATTAACGAGGTTTCCGCTCTCCTTGTGGTATTTTCTAGATGGTGGTTCCAGGTAAGTCTCGAGTCAATCATAACCCCGAGATATTTTACCTCTCCCTTAAGCTGGATGCTTGCACCTCTTAGGTTTAAAGGCCCTAGTCCCTCCAATTTCCTCCTACGGGTGAATGCAATTATGTCAGATTTGTTTGGGCTAATGTTTAGTCCTTTCGCCTCTGTCCATTTTGTTACTATATTTAGAGCCTCCTGCATTCGATCTCTTACTATAGTGTTGTATTTTCCCTGTGCCATGATCACTAGATCATGGGCATATCCCAGGGTTCTATGTCCCTCATCTTTGAGAGCCCTAAGCAGCCCGTCCACTACCAGGTTCCGCAGGAGTGGAGACAGCACTCCACCCTGCGGACATCCTCTCGCTACCCGTGCCGCTATTGTCTCTCCCATAAAGGTTGTGTGTATAGTTCTCTCCTTTAATATAGAGTCGATCCAGGACACGCACGTGTCCTCGATTCCTCTGTGTTTGAGAGATCTAATGATCGATTTAACGGAAGTATTGTCAAATGCACCCTCGATATCCAAGAATGCTCCCAGCATTACCTCTTTGTTTTCCAGTGCGTTCTCCACCCCTTAGAAGTCGGACTCGTTAAAAGGACTATCTTAGGGTGTGATTTAATCATCTTCAAACAAAGGATTGTGGAATTTGTACTACTAAATATACTGTATGCTTCCAAGATTGGACAGTCCCTTTAAGCATGAGTCTAGCGATGTCTGGAACTGTAAATCTATCAGACAATCTATCAAGATCCTTTGATGTGGGCCGAAATCTCGCTAAAGACAGGCACCATTTATTGGGGCAGAGCCCTTTGGTGGTATAATTAAAAACAACATAATAAGCTACCTCATGGATCAAAAGTATTGCTCTCTATGATATCTTAACAAGATTCCTGAAGAACTAGTTACAATGACTCCCAGAAAAATTCTTAGATTTATGAAAAGTGCTGGGAATCTGGAATCTCAATAAATTCAGATAATTCACAATAGATCTTGCTATGATGAGAGGGAGTGAAATGCCTTAATTACATATCTTAAGAATACAATACAAAATTTTGTGGATTTTGTGTTTTTCCCAAATTCTCAAACCTACCGATTTGGTGGAGAATAATTCGAACATATATAAATTGAAATAGCTACTAATAAGAAATGAAACAATAATCATAAAATAAATACAGAAACTCAGCTCATTTTTAAGCTGTTCTTTTTCATCGACTTGTTTGGGTTGTCACAGGAATATTTTTGTTTTGTATCTAGATTTAAGGTTACAGATAAAAAAAATTAGAATAATCATTTACTTCATGGCTATTATAGCTATTAGTCGGCCTATCATTTAAAGATAAAGTTATATTAGGTATGATGATTATTTGGAACGTGTTGTCAGAGGACCGACGCAATGTTGCAGGATCCGTGTTTGTCATCATCCGGAAGGCAGGAATGGCTTGATGTCAAAAATCCCGCCAGTCTGCATCGATCGACGGATGCTGTGCTGCAGCATAATGCAGAGTCGGGTTTTATTTTTTTTCTGGTAAATACTATAACGTTAAATGTTTATCGGTTATTTTTTTTCTATTTACATTGTTACTTCAGAATTTGTTGTTAAATTTAGAGGTAAATTTGAATTTTAAAAGTAATAAAATCAGTTCGTTGATGCAACTAATGGAAGATTAGCAGCCGGTCCTGTGCTCTTATCTTCACACGGCAGTTTACTCTTGTGCTGTAATTATTTATTTTCCAGGACCGCATTTAAGAATATTTCTCTCTTGGAAAAATTGAAGACTAATTCGTAGGTAATGAAATAATATTGAATTTTTTACTATTAAGTATGATACGTATTCAATTCAAATAATTTATTCTTTACTATTTTAAATGAAATTAACAGAGAAAACATTTTATTTGCTTAATCAGAATTTTGCAAAGGCATACAAATAATTTCATGAAGGTTACATTTTTTTATAAAGATTGTAGGATAAAACATAATATAGTACAACAATAATAATTTAAAAACTATTCATTAATTTGATATTTGAACAGCGTAACCCACTTAAGTCCCTTAGGTTTCTTTAAAATGAAAAAAATAGTTAATTTTAAAGTAAATTATGCTTTGATTGTCCAAAGGATTGGTTAGAGGAATTTTAGAACTATTTATTCTTTAGGTCTGTTTGGTTTTAAAGAAACATATTCATATTTTTTAGCAAATCTAGCCAAAACTGACCAATCAAAACCAGTAATAACTACTTTCGCTATTTTATTCGATCATTTTAAAGTCTTTTAGTTGAAAACATTGTATTATAATTTTCGAAAAATGACGTTTGGATTTAGATATATTTTTAAATAGATTGCCACAGCCAGTGGATAAAAATTGTTTGCTAATGGATAAAAGTACTGTATTTAATAATTTTTCTTGTATTTGCCATTTTTCGTCCTTAAGTCATACAGAAGGGCAATTTGTCATTGTTTACAACAAAATTCTTAAGTAAACGCTTGTTCAGTGTATCTGTATACTTTTTTAAACCGCGCATACTTATTTGGAATTATAATATCCTTCTTGTATAGACTTATTTTTAACTGACCATCTGTACCTCTAACATTTTTTAATTACTGTGTACAATCACAAATCATAATAATAAATACTTATCTTGGTTATTTCTTTTTTCTTGTAACACAAATCATAACAGTCACAACTTAACAACTAGCACAATGAAGAATCTTCTCTAAAGCTTAAGTACGAACTGATACTTCAGCACTTCATCCAGACTATTTCGCACGTTTGGTTTAATAACAAGTTGAAACTTGTTAAAGCATATGTTTTTATTTTTGACGTAAAAAGGTATTTAAATATCGGAAAAGTATTTAAATACTTGAAATGTATTTAAATACCGGAAAAGTATTTAAATACTTGAAATGTATTTAAATACCAGAAAAGTATTTAAATACCAGAAATGTATTTAAATATCAGAAAAGTATTTAAATGCCGGCAAATTATTTAAATTTTTAAAAAGTAATTAAAATATTTTTAAAAAGTATTTAAATACTAAATACTTACGAAAGTATTTGCAGCTGCAAATACAAATACTGCTCACCCAAAAGTATTTAACTACCTAGTATTTAACTACCTAGTATTTAGCTACCTAGTATTTAACTACCTAGTAATTAAATACTTTTAAATATTTAAATACTAAAAAGTATTTACAAATATAAATACCGCACAGCTCTGAGAGTACCATATATTCTAATTCGGCGAAACACTTAGGAATGAACCTAGATATTAAATTAGGAAGGAACACATAAAGAAAAACCGGGAAGAGTTGGGTATTGAATATAGAAAATTAGACTGATTGAATAGAAAATCAAAACTTTCAATCGAAAATAAAGTTCTAATATATAAACAAGTACTGAACTAACATAAATATAATACAAAGTTTCCAGAACAAAATATTAAGGGCAATAGTAATCGCCCCTTGGTATGTTAGAAACTCAGATCTACACAGAGATCTGAAAATGCCTACAGTCGAAGAAGAGAGGAAAACCATCGCAAAAAAAACATGAAAAAAGACTGCATGATCACGTCAATACTGAAGTTCTACAGTTCCTGGACAACCGATACCTAATGAGAAGGCTCAGAAGGACCAAACTATTTGAATTAGAGATGTGAAAGTGTATTAAATCAGAGCGCAGTGCGCGTGTGCAGTGTATAGTTATCAGAACAGAAAGGAGAAGATACCATTGGGTGAACTCTTAGTTTTAAGCCACTTAAGTTTATTTAAGTTTATAATAAAGACAAATTGCTAGTTGGCTGACATAGCAATGCAAACTAACAAAAAAACATGTTTTCTAATCAAAATTATTAAAAAGTTTCGCAAAAAAAGATATGACCTAATTTCATCAACAGAACTTGCATAAGTGGCGCCTCTTGTAGCAAAATGGAAAATATTAAATAAAATAATATTTCTTGTCTAAAGTTATGCCTCTTTACCTAGGGCGCATCCGAATTCTGCCACAAATTAAAATTTTACCTGAATTTTAACAATTTAGGGATTAGTGAATAGTCCGAACTCTGCCATGACCATTAAGGGGCATTAAGTTTTATCCGTATTAGGGATTAAGGATTTAAATATTTTTTAATACCTAAAGACCTTTCAGAAGAGGTACAAAAATTAAATAAGTAATTATTAATATATTTTCTTAAAAACAAAATTGATGGAATTCTTGGAATATTTTGACGACTGCTCGGTTTTAATATTTAGGGAAATATTTAGAATGGGAAATAGGTTACTTGTTTCTTAATAAAGGTTTTATGAAACATTTATTATCTACCTTAGTTGAGTTAAAATGAATAACAGTGCGTCTACCATGTTTAGTGAAAGAGGAAATAAATTAATTGTGTTAAATAATTTTAAGTTTTCCAAAGCTAATACTAGCAAATGTAGAAAGATTCGATGGAAATGTAACGCTAAATGTACAGCTAGAGTGTACTCCCACGTTTCCAATGAAGACGTAATAATAGAGGTCAAAGTAGAACACAATCATGGTGTTGCAATGAATATTGCAAGAAATGCAGTGAGCAATAGTGTTAAAAGAAAAGCAACCTGTGATCCAGCTGAGAAACCAGTAAAATTAATAATTCGAGAGTTGCAATCAAATAATTTTGCGGAGAACATAAACTCAGAAGATATCAATCAAATAAGAAAAGGTGTTCAATACTGTTATCGAGTTACATCTGAATACAAATCGCGGGAAAGAATTTCTAATGGTAGCAGATAAGGGTAAAAAAAATAATTGTGTTTTCCTGTTTTTCAAATTTAACATTTTTGTGTCAGTCAGAGTGTATTTTGATGGACGGAACATTCAAATTTTGTACAAATTTCTTTTACCAAATGTTTACGATTCATAGTTTTAAAAACGGTTATTATGTACCGGCTTTTTGTTTATTACCTGATAAATCAAGTGAAACATAATACAATGTATTTCTCCTTTTAAGTAATAAGTGTAAAGCTTTTGGTTTAAATTTTAAACCAATAGAGATTGTGGTAGATTTTGAATTAAGCATTTACAACGCAATATATAAATATTTTGGGAGAGATCTTATTCTTTTGGGTTGCAAATTTCATATCTGCCAAGCATGGTTTCGGAAAATTCAAGAATATAATTTAGTTCCGGAATATAAAGAGGAAAACTCTGTGATTGGTAGATATTTAAAACTTCATTTTGGTATGATGTACCTCAGTTCTGAGGAAGTTGTAGATTTTTTAATGAAGAATTGCACTATTTGCTATCAAATGATAAAAGAGTAATTAAATTCCGCAATTATTTAAAACAAACATATGTCAACAATTTATCAATATTCCAACCAAATATTTGGACAAATAGTGCAGATTTTTTTAAGAGGACTACTAACGCATGTGAAAGTTTTCATTGGCATTTTAATACCTCCTTTTATGAAGCACACCCTAATATAATGCATTTTACACGTGTATTGTTAGATTTCCAAGTAGAGACTTATTCAAAAATGCGGTCAGCTAACAATAATCAGAAAAAAACTAAAAAAAAATGTCCAAACGAAACTCAACACAATACAAGAAAATATTGAAAAATATAATAATAAATCTATTTCGCGATTTATGTTTGTTAATATAATGTCATTTAAAAATCTTCCCAATGTCTAATTTCATTTTACCTGTAAAGCTTTTATTATATTTGTAATTTTCAATTAACTGTGTATTGCAATTTTGTATTCTTGTGGTTTTTTATATTAATTTTATACTGTTTTTTTTTTTTTAATAAATTCGAATATTTTCATAATAAGTTGTTTTTTTTATATTATTTCATATTTTTATTCATGTATGTATGTAGCTATGTAAGTAACACAAATAGTAAATAATATCAGCAATGTCTTGGATACCTACATTGATAATATCTTAATCGGATCGGAGAGACCTTCTAATGATTTAGGAACCTAATCTCTAAAACTGTAATCCGTGGCAGAGTTCGTATATCAAATTTTCTTTACCTGGAGTTTGTGGCAGAATTCGGAAACCCCGTTTACCTAAGGTATGTTCGGTCCAATTCTCATAATCTTTATAATCCTCAATTTACAATAAGTATATCGTTGTTAATAATCTTAAAAAATTACAAAAGTGTTCATTTATTATATGATACCCCCCCAAAAAAAAAAATAACGCGCCAGTTTGGTAGAATTTGTTGTCCTTGGATAATATTTTCTTCGGGTAATATTCTCGAGTTTAATTCTTCATATCTGTTATTACCATGTTTTATAACTTATAATATGTCACTAGTTATAGTAAATCTATATATTACACTTTTTCACTATTAGTAAACTCAAAATAAGGCTAATATACAAAAATTACGCAATTTAATCAACGAAATTTTGAAATATGGGATCTATCAACTTCTTGACGCGCTCTATATAAAATTTTTATGATTTAAATCGAGGTTACTTCAGCGTAATATTAATTTGACGTTGGTAAAAATAAAAATTCAATTTTCAGTAATTTTTCACTCACCTTATAACTAATAATAATGTACCTCATAAGATTTACTGGAAATATCAGTATTTGTAATCAAAGTAAAGTAGTATTTCGTTAAAAAGCAGGGCCTTTGTATACAATGGCCATTTGGAACTTAAAAGCCCTGTATATCATAAACTAGCCACAAAAAAAAATACAACTGCAAAATACCAAAAAATCAGGAAATTTCATCGAAACGGATTTCCTGGTCATTTTGTATTTTTTTTTTATTTGATTTGATTGAGAGCCGGTCCTGAAATAATACATAATTTCTATTTAGTGAAAATAATTAATATTTAAAAAAGTCTTAGCTAACAAAAAGAAAATTTAATCTTCACAAACAACAACAAGAACCTGGGCAGTTGTTATTTAGCAAAAGATTAATTTAAGTTAAATGAGTATTTAATTGCCGAAAATTGTTATTAATGTTAATGCATGAGTTGGTATCAATGATCTGTTTTATCAAGAACTCAATATTTTTCCAGGGAACAATTAAACAGACCTCAAGATGCATCTGCTACCACGACGGAGACCAGTGATCTTTGAACGCGCTGCTGATAATAAATAATAATTTATTGGCTACTTGATGTTGCCACAGTCGACAGAAGATACGAATGAAAAAAGTACTGTGAACTCCTGTTTGTTAAATTTAAAATTTCTGTGATAATATACTTTGCCAAATAACTAGTGTGTAGACGATGGTTTTGATTACGTGTAGAATCCTAATAACTTTTTGTGTTTTGAATATTGTTACAGTGTTAAATTCAGTGATTGTGGAAAAAGAAAATTGGCGAGCGCCTCCGCCACATTTCAAATATACCGTGGACGAATTGTTGAGTAGGATTTTCCCGAAAAAGGTGTCGAATGATATTTATTTGGATCCTTGTAAAGCAGGTAAATTAAACATTTAATTAAATATTTATATTTCTGGTTCTTAAATAAACACATCAAAAAACTTTTAACGTTTGACGGGTGATAAGCTTTTTTATCCATTTTTTAAAGCTTTATTTCTTGACCGAATCAACTTATTAAGTTAAACACGTGTTTATTTAAATAATAATAATAAAAAATTTATAATAAAATTAAGTTTGGATTTTTAACAGTTTGTGGTACATACTATTTTATATTCAACCTTGCATTATTGCTATAAGAGAAAGCATTGTTTTTCTAGATGTAAAAACTTTTGATCGATTTTCAAAATATTCGGTAATGGCAGTTTTTGGTGTATTAAGGATCTTTTCCGCACCACAGAAAATTCACATTTCGTTTTTTTTCTATCATATTTGCTTGATATTTTCTACAGAAAATAGTCTTAAATGCATTTTTTTATTTTATGGTTTTCAAAGTTTGGAGAACCATATTTTATATTCAACGTCTACATTTAGGTCAAGAAGACAGCATTAAAAGAAAATATTTTTTTTTCAAGTGTATTCAGGTTCGTTTTTAGATTTCTATATGAACACAAATAAATCACACGGTGCTAAATCTGCATCATAAGGTGTAATTTTAACTTGCAACCATTTTTTGTCAGAAATGTGATTTTGTACCTAACTTCTATAACTTTTTTTTGTATCATCTTGCCTCTACTATTTACCCCATAAATTATTTTGTATTTAATTCTTGATTTAATAGAATTAATTTCATTATAACAAAATGAAGTACTTACCACTCCATTACACCAACTATGATTTAAATTCAATATAAATTCATATGAAAATTAATTATTCGCTTCATTCTCATGTAATATTAAGTTATAATATCTATAAACGAAATTAAAAATCTGATGTGTCCAACACATCTAGTTATTATAAGCTTTTTCCGGTTATTTTGTACAACCTATTGCAGCACCTCTATAAATGTTTAGAGGATAAACTAAATATGTATCTTTTCCACATATATCTAACTCGAAACATTTTTCTATAGATATTCATTGAAAACGAAATTACTGAAAAATTTAAATTTAGCACGTTTTCTCCAATTTTTCCATTACGGTCCATTTTATAAAAATCATGTAAAAACAAAAATTATAAAGATCGATATCGCAAACAACTTTTAGTTTAACAATTTTCTTGAAAATCAGAATTTTGCACATTTTGTCAAATTTCTTAAATACGGACCATTTCAGGAAAATTTGGTAAAAAGCAAAAATTATAGAAAAAAATATTAGAAGTAACTTTTATTTGAACAATTTTCTTCTCCAAACATAAATAACATATATATTCCATAAAATATGAAAACGACCTCCTATAAAGTACCCCCCCAGATGTTCCGACTTTGTTCAAAATCTTATCATTTCACCTCAGGCCGAAATAAAACTGAACTTTAAAATTTAATGTTCTTTCCTTTATCCGTTTTTAAGTTTTCTTCAAAATTCGTAATTTACATATTTTCTCAAATATCTCGAATACGGTCCATTTTAGAGAAATTATGTATTTAATAAAAATTATAAAGAATTATATTACAAACAACTTTCATTTAAACAATTTTTATAAAAAATTATTTTTTTTTACATTTTGTCAAATTTCTCGAATACGGATCATTTTAGGAAAATTTTATATAGAACAAAAATTATATATAATAAGTAACTTTTATTTGAAGAACTTTCTTTTCCAAACGTAAATAACACATATATTCCATAAAATATAAAAACTGCCTCCCATAAAGTACCCCCCCAGATGTTCCGACTTTGTCCAAAACCTAATCAATTCACCTCAGGCCGAAATAAAACTTAAGTTTAAAATTTAATGTTTTTTCCTTCATCAGTTTTTGAGTTTTCTTCAAAATTCGAAATTTACACATTTTCTCAATTATCTCGAATACGGTCCATTTTAAAGAAATTATGTATTTAATAAAAATTATAAAGAATTATATTACAAACAACTTTCATTTGAAGAATTTTTATAAAAAATTTATTCTTTTACAGATCATTTTAGAAAAATTTTGTATAGAACAAAAATTATAGATAATAATATTTTAAGTAACTTTTATTCGAAATATTTTATATTCTAAACATCGTATACGTTTTCATATTGATTTTTCAATAAAGTAATGGAAGACCTAATAATCAAATTAATTTAATCTAAAACGCATGTAACAAAAAAATTATTAAATAGAAGTTCAAATCAAGGATTTAAAATAACTATTTTTCATAATTATTAAGTTTTCAAAAGTCATTCTAAACAAAATCATAAAAATCACATAAATAACACCCAAAAAAATTATAATACTGCATGAAATAGCAGAAAAATTTAATAATGTTTCATAGAAATAGGTGAAATATAAATAATCTGAAGGAACATTATTTTTTTCCATTTTAAAAATAACTTCTTCAAAAAAATAAAGAATCGGTAGGTTTTTATGGCATTAAAAGAGAAAGAACGTCAGCTATTCTGGCAAAACATGCCAATGATTTGCATTTTTAACTCGAATAACATTCCTCCTGCTTTTAAAATTCCAATGATTTCATTAATTTATAAAAAGACGATGAATCTATGATAAAAAAACTATAGAAAAACTAGTTATTACACCAAAATTTACGAAAGATTCACAAAAAACAATACATAATTTCTGAAAAGCAGTTACGTTTTAAAGAAGATATGTCAACGATGCACTTCTAAAGTAGTTAAGAATGTTTGAAAACTAGTAAACCGTCCTATAACATGTAAAGGGTGGGTTGGCTCACGGCACTTAGGCCTCACTAAGCACCCTCTTAGCTCGTAAACAGTCCTATTTGTCTTTCTGGATCCTGTGACCAATACATTCATGGTTTTTGGTTTATCCCAAAAATAATTATTTACAAATTATTTAAAGATAGCAAGTTGTAAAAATTAATAGCACATAGGTGAAAATTAATTTAGATTTGGTTTACCCCCAGAAACAGTTTTTATTCACCTTCTATATAAGTAACAGTCTCATATCTACCTCATCTGAAAAACCAATCAGTTTTTGAGATGAGACTATATCTAATAGCATACAACAAAGATTTTACTGTCTATTTTCCTCTCCTAAGGCTTCCAAAGTGCTATTGCCAATAAATATTATTTACCATCCAAAAAATTCAAAATAATATAATACAAAATAAATTATATAATATTCACTCTCTATTTACTATCTTCACTCTCTAAATACCACCTAAATGCAACAAATCTTTATATCTCAATCAGTTACGCCACCCAAACATTCTGAAAGAGAAAAAAATTCAAGCGTGAGCAAATTACTGAATTATTTCTAAGCGCCGTAAATTCATAACTCGATTTATTCTACTGTATACTCAATACGAGCCTTGATATTTATTTTATGTTTCCTTTTTCTTTATATTTAACATTGCCGCAAAACAAACTTTGAACGAACCCTTCATCTCATAATATACAGTGTGGTCTAATGAAAAGTATCCACCTCCTTTTATTGGTTCCCTCAGATTTAAAGGAAAAATGCTCGGACACATCGATGTTTGTTTGGAGGGGGACACATTTTTTCCAAATTGCATCATTGGCACTTCAACCCTCGAGCAGTGGGGTGAACAACCCCTAAAATTTAGATAGGGAAAGTACCAAGAGTAGCACATTTTTGAAAAGGTAATTTTATGGGAAATTACATTTTAATTTTGTTAGTTTTTTAAGTTTACCTACTTTCTAAAAAAAGTAATTGTAAAATTGATTTTTTAGATTTATTAAAACATGTTCAAAATGTGACCTATTTGCTTTCATACAATAATACAAATTTTGTTCAAATCTATTGCGAACATTTTGTAGAATTTCAGATGTTATTCTCCTGCACTCAGCTATTATCTGTTGGCGAAGATCTTCTATGGAATTAGGCTTCGTAGCAAAACATTTATTTTTCCAGTATCCCCAAAGAAAATAATTCGGTGACCTTGCAGGCCATTCAATTGGGCCTCTCCTTCCAATCCACTGTCCAGGGTACCGGTTATTTAAAAATTCTCTTACAGCACCAACATACTGCGGATGTGTTCCATCTTACTGGAAATGAAACTGATCAACATCATGATTTTGGTCATTTTCTAATATTTCTGTTATAAGAGGGTCAATTTCATCTTCAAGCATGTTTAGGTACACTTCACCAGTTAAATTTTCAGGAATGAAAAATTGTCCTATAATATAAGTTACATAATATGCCACACCAAACATTTATTTTTTCAGGGTGTTGGGTATGATACTCACGGAACAAATGTGGGTTACTGTCATCCCAGTAACGGCAATTATGCCTATTGAAAACTCCATTCACTCGGAAAAACAAATATTAAATAATAAGTCAGGATCTGCAATTAAACACTGGCTCATTTCTTCACAAAACTGCAGCCTTCTATCAGAATCATCTTCGTTCATCTTTTGTACTAATCTAGTTTTGTACGGATGAAATTTGTGAGCTTTTAAAATCCTTATTATAGATAAACGAGAGACACCCGTGACTTCAGCTAGTTAACGAGTACTTTGCATATGATCCAAAACAACGACTTCCACAGCCTTATTTCTGACGACTCGCTGCATCTGAATTTTCTTATTACAGACAGATCCAGTATCGGAAAAGTTTTGGATTATTTTGGTAACATACGAATGATTCAATTTTGTATTCGGATGATTATTATTAACATTTTCACTGCCGTGTGTATTGCTATATAGGCCGCGTGTACCTCTGTCGATACACAGGGTACTATTTTGTGTTTTCGTCTGTGTATCTTTGGATCCCATGCGATCATTTCTTTAACACTCAGAATCGATTCGTCTGGCCTGTGTGAATGCTATGCCATAGCGAACTTTGGCCTGAGGGAATGAGTAGGGTATTTATATGGCCTGGGAAGGTGAAACTTTATATTTTATATTTTTATTGCACAAATAAATATCAAGTTTTTATTGCAGTAAGGAACAAAAAATAAG